CTGCTCGCCGCCTAAACAGGGTCGGGGTGGGATGTTCAGACGGGCCTTCAGGGGGTAGTGGTCCGACCATGGTACTGCCATAGCAGTAATCCGGTCCACTATCATCCCCGCAGCGAAGATCAAATCGAGCGTGTGCCCGGCCTGGTGCGTAGGGACCGATACACACTGGGAGAGCCCCAGTGCCTCCATGGACGACACTAGGTCCGTAACCCGGCCGGAGGTCGCGTCGTCGGCATGGACGTTGAAGTCCCCCAAGACCAGAAGCCTCGGGTGCTCCAACGCCCAGCCAGACACGGCCTCCAGCAGGGACGGCAGGCTACTGGCCGGTGCGTTAGGCGGTCGGTACACTAGCCAGATAGCCAAGTTCTCCTCAGTCTCCAGCACCAGGCCGGCACATTCCATGCCCACAATCTCCGGTGCGGGGAGGGCCCTGAAGGAGTAAGCCTCCCGAACGAACAACGCCACTCCTCCCCCCCGCCCCTTAGTCCGTGATTGGTGTATGACCGAGAACCCAGGCGGGGCAAGTTGGGAGAGAGCAACTGTCTCCCCGTCCCGCACCCAGGTCTCAGTCACACACGCCAGGTCCACTTGTTGTTCCGTGACGAAGTCCCGAAGGACTATTGTCTTGTTGTTAACGGACCTGGCGTTACAAAGCACCAAAGACGGAAAGGGGTTCTTCCGAGCCCCACTGCTGACCTCCCTGGGGATGGGTCGTAGGCTGGAAGGGCACCGAGCCATCTTTTTTCTTGGGGCTCTTCCCTTGATATTCTGCCTAGACCCACCGCTATACTTTCCCCTCCCCAAGAGCACCGGGATCTGCTGCGCCAGCATTGCTGTCTCTGCCGGTCACCGTAGCCACAAGCCTCCACACCCAGCAGCTCCGCCCGCTAGATGGATCTCAACAGCGTACCAGATCGCGTCCAATCCAGCAGCTCCTCCTCCTAACATTCTCCTTGCTCTAACACTATCTGAGCCCTCTAGTACAAAAATTAGCCTAGTGGCTCTCTAATGTACAAGTATCTACACTACTCTACACTACCCTACCAAGTCTAAATTACACCGTAACTCGGTGTACTCTACTAGGGACCGTTACTATGATAATATCCTTCTCCATTCATAGAATGGTACTAACCTATATTGTCGCCCAACAACTTCACTCACAGAATGATTAATTAATTAATTAACTTAGCAGCAATATAGTTCATCACAATTCATTATTAACATTACAATACTAATCAATACAACGATTCATCCTACAAAATTCATCTCTAAAACCCGGCAGTAACAATCATCACATTCCTTCAATTTCTGACATTAGAATCATACAACATACATACAGCCACCTCCTAAGCCCATGTGGAAGGGCGGGATATAAGTCTAATAAATAAATACCCTACAACAAATTTTGCTAGTCTTTAAGGTGCTACTGGACTCTTTTCTACTGTTGGAGAAGCAAGTTGCAAAAAATGCTTTCTACCAACTCCACCTAGCCTGTAAGATGGTCTCCTACCTTGATACAGCTGACTTGTTCACCTGGATCCATACCCCAATAACATTGAGACTAGACTACTGTAATGCACTGTACATTGGTCTCCCCTCAAAATCTACTCAGAAACTCCATCTTGTTCAGAATGCTGCAGGTCGGCTATTAGAGGGAGCTAGATGGAACATACACATTACTCCCATTCTGCAGACACTCCACTGGTTGCTCATTTGTTACCTGGCTCAGATTAAGATATTGGCTATCATGTACAAAGCCCTTCATGTCCTTGGCCCCTCTGATTTGCAGGACTGCCTCTATGTTCCACAGTGACAACTTTGCTCATGTCAGCAGGGGCTTCTGTGGGTGCCAACCTGAAAATGGGTAAAGTCAACTCCCTGTACATGTGTTTCCTCTGTTGTGGCTCCCACTTTATAGAATGGCCTACCTGAGGAGGTCAGGAAAGCTCCTACTCTCCTGGCTTTCGACAAAAGTATGCAAAACTGAATTATTCAAGAGAGCTTTTCTGTACAGGTAATAGGGTTGCAGTGTACTAAATAGTTCACAAACTTACTTGGATAAATGATTAGAGACTGTGGTATATATGCTGTGTATAGCTTATTGTAAATACAATCCTATTATGTACCACTTAATGTGCCATGTGAATACTTATGCTTTGCTTCAGTTTATTCATTTATTAGTTCGATTTATACCCTGCCCTCCCCACCAAGACAGGCTCAGGGTGGCTTTCTGGTGGTTCCAGACTTCTAAAATCCTAATGCATTGGTTACTGAATGTCCCATTTTCCTGATTGTACTGATTTGCTATGTGTAATCCACCTTGAGTCCTGTGAGAAAGGCAGATTATAAATAACTTAAATAAAAAATAAACTCACAAAACAGCCCAGTTTGTAGTCACATATGTGAGAAGGAACTCACCAACAAAAGCATTGTGGGGCCTGATTTCTGTTCCAAAGTGTGGCATAGGGGGGACGGGTTTCAGCAGGGACCCTGTTTGCCCTGCTTTTTGAGTCCATGTGTTCCCTCACCATGCGATCTGGGACACATGGGCCTGATAGCAAGGCCAGACAGGAACCTCTCCCATCACTGCTGTTTCTGCTTGCAAAAGCAGTGCAGGAGGGGAGGCTGAAGCTCCTGCCTTCTGCACCATGCAGCTGTGCAGAATCAGCCCCCCATGGTGCTTTTGCAGGTCTGTCTCTGTCACATGAGTTGACTGCAAGTTGGGTTGGGCTTGCATATCCCATCTTGTGTAGTTAGGCTCTAACATGCAGCCTGAGGAAGGCATTCAGATCAGGGCCACTGTCATCTTTCTGATCCAGTGTATCAGTTCTTGTATATTTTCCTCCAAATCTTACACAGCTATTGGGGTAGGGGAAGAAATTTTGCACTGGAAGCATTAAAAACCTCTTCCCCAAAGCTGAAGCCCCATCCTAATCTACTCCACCTCCATGGTTGTGAGATTTCAGACTTTTACATTCAGTTGAGCCCTTGGTATGTAATTTAAAAGTGAATTTCAAAATTTATGAACAACATGTTTCTGGCTTGTTTTTCTTCTATTAGGAAGATTATTTTTTAGACAAGTATTTTGATGCCATGGAGGTGGATGCATTGAATTCCTCACACCCTATAACTACTGCTGTTGAAGATCCAGCTCAGATTCTAGAAATGTTTGATGAGGTTTCCTATGATAAGGTAAAATAAGAAACTTTTATTGACTGAAATATATCTGCATTTTATCTATTCCAATTGGAAGGAGAATTTCCTGTTAGTGTTTCGGTTCAATCTGACAACAGATTAGCAGATAGCAGAAGTATTTTCTGATGGTGATTTATATCTGTAAATAATGATGACATGTCCAATTTACCACATGTAGAATACAATACAAATTTATCACAATATTTTAAATTCCATAATTATATGAAACTCTGTTTAGGGAACTAAATTTAAAAATTGAATATCAGCAGGTGTCAGATTGTGCCACTGAAATTTCACTGACATTTCCCCAAATTATTCTTGCATGCATGAAATATGTCACTACCAAAATCTAAATTTGGTAAAATTTCAAATTCTAGGTGAGGAAGTTTGCAAATTAGAATTTTAGCTTGAATCATATGTAGCAGTGCATGGAACTGCACTATATAAATGGCAATTTAGTTGCTTTCCACCTCCCAGTGGAATCTTCTAGCCTCCTAGAATTGTACCCCTGTAGGACCCCAGACGTCAAAGTGGGGGGCTGCAGTGAGAGGTGGGAACAGGCAAATATTGCTGCCCTCCTCCTCTGTGAGAGGGAAAGGGGGTTAAGATACAATCTTTTGTTTCAGTGTGGTTTTACCTTTCATACATTATGATGCTCATGATGAATTTTCTTAGATTGTCTAATTTTTCATGAACGTTGGTACTCCCTGGTACCATTGTCATTACAGGAATAAGCTTGGGGAATCCCTCATTCTCTCCTCATTTCTCCCTTCTCGCCTGAATTTTTAATGAAAGATTTTTAAATTCATGGTGAACCCTAGTTTGTAATTAAGATTAATCCTCATGCTGTTGTTTGCATTCTTCTCTCCAAAATCAGAATTACATCAGAGCTTGGAATCTTGGCCTAATGTAAAAAGGCAAACCATATTTTGTGGTTTGGATATAATGACCAACTATGATTTGCTGTAACTCTGAAAGTCACATATTGAGGCATATGAGGAAAATAGGAGGAAGAGAAATCACATTTTTTCACTTTATTGATTTGCATGGATGAAGACATCTGAAATGAAAACCACCACCAATAGATAAGAAAGCACATAAGGATTAGGAGTGCCCTAATCAGGAGATATAGACATTAGATTATTAGACTTATTATTAAGTCAGTCACTTAATAAGCAAATGTAGGTTGCATTCCTTCATTCCTCTCTTTTCAGGGATCTTGCATTCTTAATATGCTAAGGGACTATCTCGGCTCAAAGGTGTTTGAAGCTGGCATTGTAAAATATTTGCAACGATTTAGCTATCAAAATACACAAAGTGAAGATCTGTGGAACAGCCTGTCAGAAGTAAGTATTTATTATTATTATTAATATTTTCACAAACAGTATCATAATTTTTAAAATGTTGCTGACTGAGTCATTGGTTTAAGCAGCATTGACATCTCATAAAAGAGTAGATGACACAGAATTTTTGTTTTTTGTTTTTTAAAGATTTGTCCTGCAAGTAGCACCGATGAAAGTCAAGCAGAAGATGGGGCATGTGCCAGAAGCCAGGAGACAATCTCAGCTTCAGTGAGCTTGTGTTTTATTATATATTTCTATTCAGAAGTCTGAAAATACTCTCTCTCCCAGGGGTGTGAATTCGTTTTCACTAGGTAAAGTTCCGAAGAACTGGCTTATGATCCATTATGATCCATTTCCTCAGCAGCAAATTCTGACATTACTGTAAGGTCATGCAGACAAAAGGATGTCAAAGACAACAAAGACAGGTCCCATATGAGAAATCCTCTATTTTTTTTTTATTTTTTTTCAAATGTTTTTATTGTATCCCAATATTGTTATTACATTACAGTTTAGTTCCAACTTTTTGATACTTTTACCCCTCTGTTTTTTCCCTCCCCCCTAAGGTGGCCACCATCATGTTATTCAAATTACATTTTCAACCATGAGCACATTCTTTCCAACTTTTCAAATATACCTCTGTTGGCTTCCCCTTTATAAACCCATTTAAAGTATACCGACCATTTCTTTTTTATCTCCTTCATTTTTACAGTCCATGTCTTATCTTGCTTTAAACATTCCAATATGTCCGATTGTATATATTCATATAAATATTCGTTCCATTTTTCTAAAGTCCATTTTGAGTTCTCCTTCCAACCATATGCAATTACTGCATGCGCTGCTAATAACATTACTTTGAAAATATCCTGATTTTGTTTCTCAGTTCTATGGTTTCCCAATACACCCATAAATAATAAATCTACACCTATAACCAGGTTCACTTTACATAGCACTGCTATTTTCCCCTGTATCTTTTCCCAAAAATCTATCACTTTTGGGCATTCCCACCATAAGTGAGAATACCACCCTTCTTTTGCATTACAGTGCCAGCAATTGGGTTTCATTCCTTTTATCATATATGCCAGTTGTGCAGGAGTTCTGTACCACTTCCATATTATCTTTCTTTCAAGTTCTCTATACTTTTCTAGCTTAATTTTCTTCAAGTTCACCATTAACTTATTGACATCCTCAGTAGTAATTTGTTTTTCCTTATTCCATTTGTTTTTTAAGCTTCTGCACATAAATTCCTTATCTTTCACCAATTCTAAATAAATCTTCCCTGCCAATCCTTTTTTTATTTCTTTCACATATAGTATTTGTTCCATATTATTATCTTCCCTTTTAATAGCTTCTTTATACTTATCTTGTTTAATTAAAGAATATAATCCCATCGAATTTAACCAATATCTATTTCCTAGTTTTTGATTCAACTCCTGAGGCGTTAGTGGATTCCCTTGGCTATTATACATATCCTTCACTCTTAATATTCCTTCCTTCTGCAGGTCGTCCCAGAATTTCGGATTCATCTCCTTCTCCCATATATACCTAAGTGGAGTCCATTTTGAAGTTTGTGGCATCAATACCTTTTCCCACCTCTTCCAAACAAGTAAAGCTGTTTTCCTTGGTCCTTCTGCTTGTCTTATTTCTTTTCGTAGATCTCTAGAATACATTCCATAACTTCCTGCTCCCTTATTTATCTCAGATTCCAATCTTACCCACTTGTCCTCTTTCCTCCATTCTAACTCCATCACTATTTTTAGCTGAAATGCATCATAATAAGCTTGTATACATGGTAACCCCCATCCTAAATCATCTTGGGGCATATATACTAATTTTTTTATCATTCTTGATTTTTTCCGTCCAAACACCCAGTTTTTAATATGTTCATCCCATTTCCTCATAACTGCTTGGTCTAATTCTATTGGGAGTACCTGAAGTAAATATAGCATCTTTGGAAGTATAAACATCTTTACTGCTCTAATTTTCCCTAAAATACTCAAATTCTTGTTTTTCCACTCCTTCAGTTTCTTTATTATCTTTGACCAAGCCTTATTATAATTAATTTTTTGCAGCCTCTCTATATTTCTATCGAGATATACTCCTAGATATTTAATCTTCCGAACTCCTGATTTCATCCCTGTTAGCTCTAGTATCGCTCTTTTAGTTTCTCTATCTACATTACTAAACATTATTTCAGATTTCTTAATATTTATTCCAAGCCCAGAACTTAACTTAAAATCGTCTAAAATAACTAACAATTCTCTTATTGCCTGTAATGGGTTACTTATTGTCAGCAGGATATCATCCGCAAAGAGATTCAGTTTAAGTTCTTCCTTGCCTATTTGGAATCCCTGAATTCTACCACTATTTCGTATCCTATCTGCTAGGGGTTCCATTGCTAATGCAAATAGCCTAGGGGACAATGGGCACCCTTGCTTTACTCCTCTCTCAATTAAGATTTCTCTAGTATGTCCATCATTTATTCTAATGACTGCTTTGCCTCCCCTATAAATTTCCCTTATAGTATTCAAATACGGTCCCCTAAAGCCAAATTTTTCCAATACCTGCATTAGATAATCATGATTTAAAGTGTCGAACGCCTTATATACATCTAATTTTAATAAAACTAATGTTTTCTTATTTTTACAGGACAAGGCATTTAGTATATTTCTCAATGGGTGGGCTATGAATCTATTTTTGACAAAGCCATATTGATCTTCCTTGACTAATTTTGATAGCAGTTTTCCCAATCTATTATCCAACACTTTTGTAAAAATTTTATAATCTTGATTCATCAGACTAATTGGTCTATATGAATTTATATCTAATGGATCCCTCTGGGGTTTTAATATTGGTAGAATTTCAGCTTTCTTCCATGTGTCTGGCATTTTGCCTTCTTTTAGAATATAATTAAATAATCTTTGCATTTCTGGAATCAGAATCTCCGCCATTTCTTTATAATATTCTGCCGTGAACCCATCCAACCCGGGGGATTTCCTATTTTTTAACCCTTTTATTACTTCTGCTATTTCCTTCTTTGTAATTTCTTCATTCAGTCTTTCTCTCTGTTCTGATGTTAACTTCTTATCTAGTTGTTCCTCAAATTTTTGGTTTTCTCCAGATTTAAATAGTTGCTGATAAAATTTAGCAAATTCCTCTCTTATCTGGGTATTTTTAAAAAGCTGGTTCCCCCCATCCCCCTTGACACATCCTATTTTTTGTTTTTCTTTTCTTGATTTTAGATAATTAGCCATTCTTTTCATTGTATTCATATTAATTCTATGATATTCGTTTTTTACTAATATTTCTTTTTTCCACATAGACAAAGAATCTAAATTCTCTAAGTCTTTTTTAAGTTTTTTTAATAATTCCTGAGTCTGCCTATTATAGTTACTCTGAAGTTCCTTTTGTTTTAGCGTGATTTCATTTACTATCCTCCTTCTCTCCTTATTATTTTCTCTTTTAATTCTAATTTCCTTAGCAATATAAACTCCCCTTATCACTGCTTTGGCTGCATCCCAAACTACTTCTTCCCTGGCTGAGTTCCTATTCTCTCTAAAGTAACATTCTATGTTTTTCCTTACGTCCAACCGATCCTCTTCAATTAAAGGCAAATTTGCCTTATATCGCCAAATAAACTCTTTTCGCTCTTCGCTTAATTTAAATTGAACTACCAAAGGAGCATGGTCCGAAATCCATATAGGCTCAGTTATTGTTTTCACCACCTCTATCTCATTTGTTTCCTTTACTAAAACATAATCAATATATGAAAAGTTCTTAAATCTATTAGAGAAGTATGTAGGTTGTAACGTTTTCCCTCCATACATAAATGCATCTTTCAATTTCCATTTCTTAAGCTTCAGAGTTTTACTTTTCCTAAAATCATAATTAACATCTCCTGCCACTACCAATTCGCCTTCATAGAAGTTCTGCAGTTTCTGAAATATCTTATTCAAAAATCTTACCTGGCCTGTATTTGGTGCATATATTGAAGCTATTGTAAACTTCCTATTATTCATCTTAAATTTCAGAAAAGCATATCTTCCTTCTAAGTCTACTATTTGATCTAATACTTCTATCTTCCAACTAGCATGTATAAGGATCGCTACCCCTCTTGCTTTCTTAGTTCCTCTTGCTTCCACCTTTGTTTCCCACAGTGGCGAATTTAACAAAGGTTTTTTATCCTTTTTAGATTTGTGGGTTTCCTGCAAACACACTATATTTATTCCATGTTTTTTAATCAAATTTTTTAATCTGTACCTCTTTAAATCTGAAGCCAAACCATTTATATTTATAGATAACAATTTTAATGTCTCAACCATTTTCGTCTATACATTCATTATATCTTTGCTCATGTCTATCCTTTATTACTTCGATGGTCCCCCTCATCCCCTTTCCCCCTCCCCGAAGAGCCTCCCCTAAGGGGTATACAGTTGGCATACACCTCCTGACCTCTTCGCTACTTGGTTGAGGTCTACGTTCCCAATTCCCCCCTCCCTTATTCTTTCAATCATGTAAGTTTCAATATAAGCCACCATGCTTATTCTATATTGTTTCTGATCCAAATAATTCAAAATACATTAAACACAAACAAAATACCTCAAACACCAACTTATATCTCTATTCACATTATATGGTGCCAATTATAATCTAAGAGCAGCTAGCATCCTTTCTTGGACGTTTTGACTGGCTTTGCAAAGCCTGACTCGATTCTCCTTCTTCACTACTAGATGTAGTTATGTCGAAAGCTTCCCTTTGTTGGGCTTCTTCTTCCTCCATAGCTTCTGATTCCAACGACGTCATACTGATTCCCAGTCTCTCCAGCATTCTCCTTGCCTCTACTGGATTTTTTGCTCGGAAAAGTTTACCTTCTCTAAATACCAGTATTACTGCTGGGTATCCCCATGTAAATAGTATTCCATTTTCAAATAGTTTTTGAGTGTAAGGTTTTAACATTCCTCTTTGCTGCAGCGTCTCTGGAGAAAGGTCCTGTCTTATAATTACTTTATATTCATTAAATTGTAAGTCCTTCTGTGTTTTTAACCTTTTATAAACACTGTCTCTTGTTTTCTCTCTTGCAAATGCCATAATAATGTCCCTTGGCTTTGCTCCCAGACTAGGCTTGGGGCGGAGAGATCTGTGTACTCTTTCAATTTCTTCCGGACCTATTTTTATTCCATTTTCCTCAAACCATTCAAGTATCTTTGTTTCAAGGTCTTTCTGCATAATAGCTTCAGGAATACCAGATAAGCGAATGTTTCTCCTTCTTTGACGGTCGTTAATGAATGCTAATCTACTAGTCAGCTCCTTAATTTTGGCCTCATTAAGGTCAGCTTTTTTGGATGCAGTTTCTGCCACCCTTTTTATACTCTTAACTTCAAGTACCAACTGGCTCAAATCTGATTTAAGAGCTTTAATGTCCCCTCTCACATTTTGCTCTGAGGTGGCAATAAGCTGTGTTAATTCTTTCAATTCCTTCTTAGTGGCCATTTTTACGCTGCTTCTTTTGTTGCAGCCTCCACCCAGGGAGATTAAATAAGAAAATAAACACAGTTTGTATCACTCACTTCCGAAATCTCGTGCAGCTCAAACCTCTTGGTTCTCTGCCACTTTTCACAGATGTTTCAAGTTGTTTCCAAAGCTTTATCTCTCTTCTTTGGCAGCTTAATAACACCTTCTCCGGGAGGTAATTTGGAAGCGTCTTAACCAAACTGACGCATGCGTAGAACATATGAGAAATCCTCTAAGGAAATAAAGGCTAGTCCCGATACTAAATGTAGCAACTCTTGTGAAGAAAAATCTTTAGAAACCAGGAAGTAACATTACAACATAAAGAAAACTCTTGCACAATATAAGTTAACTTGCTTCTGAGGAAGTTAAGGTACGAAACCAAGCAGAAGCCAGCTGCTTTGTCAAGTTCTACATTCCTTTGACTGTTAACAGCACATGTTCTGAAATTCCACAACAAATCTTTTGGCTGTTGGCAGCAATTGGTATTCTGTTTGTAATTATTGTGTGTTAGTATATTAGTAAATTGTATAAGTTGTATAACATTAGGATATTGTATGGTTAGGTTGTATACCCAGTAAACATTTTGTATACTATAATAATCAAGTATAAAAGTTATTGTATTAGCATACATATTTAGTGTTTAGAGTGTATTATTGGACTGATTTTGGCCCCAGTTTTGTTGTCTTTGGAGTCTTGATACTGGGAGGTCTGTTTTTTGGGTTTGACAAAAGGATGTCCACCCAAGAACAGCAGCAGTGCAGGAGTCAATATGCGTGCTCCAGAATGCTCTACAGTATTGCAGAGGATCATAGGGTAGATGTCTTGGAGAGTGTGCTGCAGCGACTTCCCTCAACCACCTGTAGCTTAGTGTGGCAGAGGCTGTTTCCCTCAGTCGTTTCATAGTATGCAGGCCACATAAAGGAGGTGAGGGCTCCCAGGCTGACTGTGTATTTTTAACCAGTGGGATTAGGTCTTTCACATTTAGAGTAAATAAGATTTTAAAATGATTATCATAAAAAGATGACAGAAGTTAGCTCCCTGTGGTTACAGCTCCCGAAAGCAGAGTATATATATTCCAGCCTCTTTTTATTTTTTCCCTCTGATTTATAGCACTGGAGCAAGAGTGCACTCCATGATGTAAAGACAATGATGAACACTTGGACACTGCAAAAAGGATTCCCATTAGTAACTGTGACAGTGAGAGAGAAAAACATTCATCTCCAGCAAGAACATTACATGAAGGGCTCTCAGATTTCTCCACCAACAGGGTAACGGCAAAGGAGCAACTGAGGCTCATCTTTTATTAGACTCTAGAGAAACAATGGTTTATAACAATTAATGTTATTGTGTATTATTATTGCTTATTAACAAGTTCAGTATTTTTAAAAGTATTGTATTGGATATTAGTTTCAATAATACACAAAACATGAGACAAAGAAACATTCCCTCCCGTACCAACCATAGATCTGATTCATACATTACATTTTGTTTGAGTGAACACTCTAAAATGGTAACATATGAGGAAGACAAATGCATGGTCTGAAAATGAGCCAGGATGCTTCAACCAATCATGCAGCTGTCTTTTGAGACACAAGTTTGTTTCCGTATCAAAGATACCTTACTTCCCCAGTACATTCAAGAAAAAAGGATTTTCACCCCTGCATACCCCCCCCCCACTAATGCTGTTCATTTATCTCCTGTGGTACTGCTGTGTTTATGTTATGTATTGGAAGTAAGTATCTAATGTGTTGCTAAGGATCACAATTTTTCATTGATTGTAGGTACCTATGGCACATTCCACTAACGTACATTACCAGTAAATCTGACATTGTTCAAAGGTTTTTGCTGAGAACCAAAACAGGTATGTTTGACTTCATTCAAGTGAAAGGGCATACAATATTGTGTTCAAACTTAAGCTCTTCTATTATTGAAAGAAGGGGAGATACAAGATTCAGGGTTGAGTAAAAACTGTGGGTCCTCTCTCTTCAGTCACACAAATACAAGCTTTATCCACAAAGCAATTAAAGTCAGCGTTTATCTATATATTATTTATATCAGTTATTTTAATTGTTGCCTGATGAATGATGAACTTAGTTGGGTTGTGTTCTGCAGAGAAACATAAAATTGTAATTATATTTTGGTCACAGATAGCGTTGTCCTCCCAGAAGAAGTGGAATGGATAAAATTCAATGTGGGAATGAATGGTTATTATATTGTGCACTATGGAGATGATGGCTGGGATGCACTGATCCACCTTTTAAAAGCAAACCATAATGCAATTAGCAGCAGTGACAGAGCCAGCCTTATCAACAGTGTATTCCAGCTGGTGAGGTAAGGGAGTAGGATTGTGCATGTTACTTACATGACACTTTGATAAAGGAAGTTATTGATGTTCTGTAACAAACTGAGAGGTTTGTATCATATGCAGTAATAGAAATCCAGAGTCACTCATGTGTTCAGGTTATCCCCGAGAGAACAGAGAGAGACTAGTGACAATACTAATAGAGGAAGAGTACCCCAGAATCTGAGATCTCGGTACATTTCAGGATTAATTCCTTGTAATTCATGATTCCATGTAGAAATGATACCAGCTGCACTAGTCTTTGCCCTTTGACACTTGTACTCTGACCAATGTCTTAGGCCAGCCCTCTGCAGGTAATCGTACACTTTTTGCTAGCAGAGCACTTGAGCACACTTTCATTAGACAAAAGACTTCTTTCCCCAAGAAATGGGTCTTGTGATTATTACCACAGCGATTGCAAAAGATTTATTGGTTTACTACATATCCTAGTTTGCAAGCAAAAAGTATTTGTTCAAAGTGGTATCTGTTGATGTGATATGTTCCCTTGATTCACATTGGGTAGAAAATTTATCACCCCTTCAATTTTTTAATAACATTAACAAACTTCATAGCCAATCTTATTTATTATTTATTTCATTTATACCCTGCCTTTCTCCCCAACAAGGAGCCAAAGCAGCTTATATCATTCTCTCCTCCATTTTATCCTCACAACTGAGGTAGGTTAGGTTGAGAGAGTTTGACTGGCCCAAGGTCACCCAGCAAGCTTCCGTGGTGCAAGTAGGGATTTGAACCTGGTTCTTCCAGTTACTAGCCTCACACTCTGAACTAAACCACCACATTGGCTCTCCAGTACACATGGCTAAGAGCACATGGTACTACTAGACAAAATCAATAGGAGTGTTTTGTGTCCCTTCCAAATCAAATTTATTCTTTGTTCTTGCAGCAGTCAGTGGGGGTGGTTTGTCAAAATCTAACCAAAATCTAACTAGTGTTATCTGGAAGGGAAAGACTCAAACAGCCAAGGTAGAAGCCAGACAGTCCAAAACTGTTTCAGTGTCGAGAGATGAGAACTGGATACAGGGCCCAAAGCTGTGTTAATGAAACATGTGATAAACATGCTAATAAACTGAGGCCACAAATGAGAAACAAAAGTGAGCTCTAGGCTGATAAGAAATAAGGCAAAGAGGTAAAGGCTACTAGTATGAAACCTGATTCCCATCTTATTGTTGTTCAAGAGCTTCAGTCCTTCTCATGTCATTGACTCTGGCGAATCAGACAACAAAAAATTTTATTATCTAATGACCCTTCTCTAACACACAGTATACCAACTGCTACAGCTGTGCAACATCATAAACAATGTTGATTTTCCACTGTGTCCATGTGCTCATTTGCAAACACCTATGATTGCTAGGTGCAAAAAGTGAGGCAGGAATTTAGCTATTGAAAAGAAAAATATTGAGAAAGAAACCCCCCTAATTCTGTACACAGTAAAAATTTAGTCAACAACAACAAAAAAACTTGTTTAGGGTATAACAGAGTATTTTCTATTTTCTTCAGTGCTGAAAAGCTGTGCATTACCAAAGCTCTTGATTTAACTTTATACCTAAGACATGAATCTAAAGTTAAACCTGTATCTCAAGGATTGAGTGAACTGGTTCCTATATACAAGCTGCTGGAGAAAAGGGATATGAGTGACACAGCAGATCAATTAAAGGTAAAACACAGTAGGATTGAATAAATGATGGTATTGCAGGCTGTCTGCTCACATATTTAGGTTTTTGTCAGTCAACCAGTAAAATGCAGCTCACTAAGGGGCCACAGAGAACAAATGTATTGTTGACCTGAGTATGGTTTCAAATCTTAATGAGGTTGACCAGGAATGTGATGGACAAGTATGGGGAATTTGTAATCAAACATAATCGTATTATACTGAATACTAGCCTGCAACCCATGCTTCGCTATGGTATTTAAGTTCCGTAAATCCAGTTATAATACTGATGATGGAAAGTTTGAAATGTAATATTTGTTGTAGGAATTCTAATGGAGAAGATTGTAGTGTAAGAAATGAAGCGAGACATACATACTTGTTTTTTTTCTCTACTAAAGGACCTCTCTGTAGACCACATTGGTGGTTCTGCCCTCAGGTGCTAGGATCACCAGGCTGCTTGGTGAGCTTATTCTGGAGCAGGCAACATTTAAGAAGCAGTTATCTGTTAAGTCAACTCCTGAGGTTTTTCCTCAGAACTCGGGGGGGGGGGGGGGGGGAGCAGCAGCCTGCCAGGCATATGGAGAACAATTGAGGGAACACTTTTTGCCCCCTTTTAACCCCCTTAGGGGTCATGTTTCTCAGAAATCTCTTTGTGGAGGGGGGTTGACGTCATGGAAGGAATACACTCCCCTTATGTTGGGTTTCTTGGTGCAGGGATTTGGCCTGGGCATTGAATTGGTGGGGAGGGCATACCCCCCCCCCCTTTTTTAACAAATATGTTACATTTAAGAAGTGGGACATAACTATGTATTCAAAACACCATCTGAACAATCAGATATTAAGCAAGTTCATATGAACCAATTTTCTAGAACCCACATTGTGAGAAGTTAAATAACCTAATGAAATGAGTTTTGTACACATTTGGGGTATATTTCCATTGTGGGTGGGAGTGTGGCTAAGCTGAGCCAGCAGCACCGCTAAGGTGATCCTGCTGGGGTGGCGTCCCTGATGGATTAAAGTACCCTGCTCCTGCTCCTACACCTGACAGACACCCACCTGTCTGGTGTTGGGGGGGGGGTTATGTTTAAAGGCATCAGGGAGGCTGGGCCAGCAGCAGGGCTAAAGCAGTCCTGCTGAGCAAACTTCCCCAGCAGCTGTAAGCATCCCACCTCTTCTACACCTGACAGGCAGTTGCCTGTCCAGTGTGGGAGGGGGAGGAGTATTAGAAGCCACTGTGGAGGCGGGGCCGGCAGGATCACTAAGGCGTTACTGCTGGGGAGGGCTCCCTTGTGGTTTAAGCACCCTGCAACCGCTGCAGCTCCTGACAGACAACCGCCTGTTAGGTGTAGGAGGTGGGGGAGAGTGTGTTGGAAGCCATCAGAGAGGCTGGGCCAGCAGCTTTGCTTCACTTCACAGGCAGTTGGCCACTTCTGATTTCCTCAACTGTCATTAGCTCTCTGCAGTCCCCTGTAACTGTTTTGGGTTTTTTTTACCTCAGAACACTGAGCTCTGCAGCTGACCAATCAGAGAGTGGGGGGTGCAGGGAGGCAGCTGCCTGGCTGCTGCATAGGAATCAATGGGGGAGTACATTTTAACCCTTTTGACCCACTTAAGGGTCGAATTTCTAAAAATCCCTTCTTAGTGAGCACCTACACCATGGTAGGGGCACTCTCCCCGAATTTGGTGTCTCTAGGTCCAGTGGTTTGGCCTGGGTGTTGATTTTACGGTGAGGGGACTTTATTTTATATATATAGATTAAGAGTTTGCTGTTTCTGTTGCCAAGTATTGTGCAGCTGACCCAACCATTTCTATAACATACAACAATAACACAACAGAATACTCTATATACTTACATATCCTCCTACTTTCCCCCCTTTGTATATCTAGTAAGCTTCCAGCTGCAGCACAGAGGTTTGTACTTTTCAGAGGGAAAACAGTAGAGGAGGACAAACTCTAAAAGTTCCACTCCTTGTGGTGTTCTCTCTCTCCAAAACCATCCTTTGGGAAAAAAATGATCATGGAAATAAATGTAGCTTGTAATTCTGTCTTTGGAGAGGAGGAAGACTGTTCCTATACCCAGACCTCTTGTTACTACATCACAGATTTCTTCTCCTCATGGGAGAGGGGAACAGGAACACTGGAATGATGTAGCTTCTTGGATTCTGATAGTATGTATTTTTAAAATGTATAACTTGTGCACTTTTGCACAAAAACACAAGGCATTGTATTAAAAACACATAAAATACACTAAAAACCAACCAGTAAGAATATTTTCACTTCCCAATACATGAACACATGGACCTATCAAGATCATTTATTGTCTACTCTGACTGGCAGCAGTTCTCCAAGGTCTCAGGTAGAGGTCTTTCACATAACCCCACTACCTGGTTCTTTCAGCTGTAGATGCTGGAGGCTGAACGTGGGACCCTCTGAGGTAAAGGAAATACTCTGACACTGAGCCATGGGCCCTCTTAGGCTCTGAACTAAAAATAGCCATGTAAACAAGTCTTTGCAAGCTTGGTTCCTGCATGGAGCTGCATTAAAGCTGTTACATCTGGTCTACCTGAATAACTCTGCTTCTAATGGTTAAAAAAGAAGCCTACTTTAGTATTACAATCCTATGCAGAGTTATAATCTTCTTAGCCCATTGACTTTAATAGGAGGCAGCAACTGCTTAGGGTTCAACTGTTAATTAACTGTTTCTCCATTGTGCTTCAGTCTGAATTTTAAAATGCCTGTTTCTTTGAATGATAGTTCATTCTTGTTGTCAGAGGAATTTAGCTGAGCAATTTTTGTTCACTTACACTTGAGTTTATTTAAATTGACGATTTTCCCCAGTTCATTTTTGACAACTCATTTAAAGGAATGATGTCTGACTTTTTTGTTTATAAAATTGTTCTAGGGATATTTAGTAAATCTCTTTAAAAACATAATTGACAAACAATCTTGGACCGACGAAGGCTCCATGGCTGAGCGAATACTTCGCAGTACCCTTCTCATATTTGCTTGTGTGCGCAAATACCAGCCATGTGTGGACAAAGCAACAGAGTATTTTATGAAGTGGAAGGACTCTGATGGAACTCTACAGTATGTGTTTCACTTTTATATAAAAACTATAGCACCTTGACTCCGTCAGGGCAAATAATGCAGTGTAAAGTTCAAGGCTGTGTGCAGCAGAGTTCATTCTACCAAGGGTGTCCCACTTCTTCCCCATGGAACAGCAGAAAAGAGAAGGGAAGCAGTCTTGTAATAATTAGCTGAAAGGTATGGGAGACACAAGAATCTTCATTCTTGCCATTCTTGCAACATACTGATATGTAAGGGGATATTTATTTGTGGGGGCTATGGGTAGACATTTCTGGGTATTGATGTCCAGAGTGTGTATGCATATATAAGTCGCTGGATATAGTGTAGAGCAGGGGTGTCAAACCTAATAGCCCACAGGCTGGCTCCTGCTCCTGCAGGGCTCATATCCAGCCCTTCAGCGATTGGCTCCCTCCTGCTTCTTTCTTCAGGGCTGCTGCTGCACTGCAGGTCGCTTTTGCCCAGCTCCCTCTGCTGCTTCCTGCTTCCTTCCAAGCCAAGCCTCCCTTCCCTCCCCAGGCTGAGGGCTCCTCCTTCAGGAGGAAGGGAGGGGGAGGCAAAGAGTGAGACAGAGCCCTGCCCCGGAAAGAGATCAAAGTCTCAGTCCTGTGGCTCCTTTAAGACCAGCAATGTTTTATTTCAGATATAAGCTTTCCTACACTTCTTCAGAGGGAGGGAGAAAGGATGGGTGGGTAGATGGATTTTTCTGCCAAGTACAATGCTCTGTTGTTTTATTTGAAACTTGATTCTCTCTCTCTCTCTCTTTCACACACACACACACACACACACACGTATGTGTGTTAAAAAGAAGGGTCACATTGGGATAAGGGGAAAGGAGAATTAAAAGGAAATTATTTTGGCTTATTCTGAAAAGTGTTATTATTTTTTTTAAAAAAGATTAGATTTCTATCCATTTGGGATTTTCTTTCAAAAAGACCCTGATTAGGAATTAGCCATCTACTTCCATTATTAAACCATGTAATCCAATGGAAGCCAATCCTAGTGTTCTAAGTATTTAAAAATACATTTATGGTTCCAGATGTTCAAGTTCAACATGTATCCCTTTCTCCCCTCCCACCTTGCTGGCTGCCTTTCTCCACTCCCCTTTTGCTTTCCTCACTAGTACTTGAGTGGATTTTGCCCAGTCTGAAATCAACACATTATTTCACTTGGAGGGATCCCCCTTTCCAGTTTAAACAGATGAGGGGTGGGGGGGGGGGAAGAAACCTAACAGTATAGCTTGCAAGCTTTATTATTGGAAAGGAGCAAGAGTCCAGTAGCACCTAACAAAATCTGTGGCAGGGCATGAGTGTCCATGAGTCATTGCTCACCTCTTCAGATACAGCTAGAATGTGACTCCATTGGTCCTTAACCTTGGAGAATGGAGTGATTTCAGAGGCCAAATGACAATAGCAGGCATGGGTAATGAGACAGGAAACTAGGTCTCAATTCAACCCTGAAGAATGCAGTAAGCTTCATTATCAGTTGCAGTTCAGCAGTCTCTTTCTAATCTCCCTTTGAAATTCCTTTGTAAGAGAACTGCTACTCTTAGGTCAGCACTGTCCTGGAAGGTTAAATGTTCCCCTGCTGGTTTTTGAATGTTGTGGTTTCTAATGTCAGATTTATGTCTATTTATTCTTTGCATCCTCCTGGACTGAATTCTCCTGGACCGAATTGAGATCTAGGTTTTCCTGTCTCATTACCAGTGCTGGTATCTCCATGCCTACTACCCCTCTGCATATCACACCTAATCCAATCACGCCTTCTGTTGCCATTCAGCATCTGAAAGTTTATATCTCCGCTACCTCATGTTATGTTTTATGGTACACATGGGCCCAGTCTGACAAAGTGACATTTATGTTAGATCTGGCCCTCATAACAAATGAGTTTGACACCTCTGGTGTAGAGGATCAGCATATACCATTTGATTATTTAAAATATTTATATGCCTGCCTGTCTCCTGAGCATCTCGGAACCCAAGGCAGAAGGCATGGTTCCTCCATCCTCAGTCAGGATGGATACAAAGACTGGAGGGGGCAGAGAGGAGGCCACCCATCCTCAACAGGAGCTGTTCACGCTGTCAAGAATCAGAAGATGTGTTGTAGAGTATGCTAATCCTTTTGTGAGTGCATTTCATAGCAGTATCAAGGTTACCACATTGGCTGCTGAGATCCTAACATGGACTAAAATTATGAGTGAATTTAATGTTGAAGCTTGCAGCTGGGTCTATAATAAAATGTGGATTACCTGTCAGAAAATAATTTGAGATCCAATTTTTTTTACAGTTTGCCCAATGATATTAAACTAGCAGTATATGCTGTTGGCGCACAGACTGATGAAGGCTGGGACTTCCTTTTTAGCAAATATCAGCTACCAAAGTTCAGCACTGAAAAAGGCCAGATTGAAATGGTCCTTTCCCTGAGTCACAATAAGGAAAAGCTTCAGTGGTGAGTATTCTTCAAATGGTGTTTAAGGTCATATTAAATAAGAGCTATTTTCCTTATCTGTATGGTGTATATCAACATAAAAAACCCCTAAGATCATGGCATCCAGCCCCATCACTCCTTGGCAAATAGAAGGGGAAGTCATGGAAACAGTGACAGAATTCACGTTCCTGGGATCCCAGATCACTGCAGACGGTGACTGCAGCCATGAAATTAAAAGACGCCTGCTCCTTGGGAGGAAAGCGATGGCAAACCTAGACAGCATAATAAAAAGTAGAGACATCATCCTACCAACAAAAATCCGTACTGTCAAAGCGATTGTATTCCCGGTAGTAATATATGGCTGCGAGAGTTCGACCATAAGGAAGGCCAAGTGCTGAAGAACAGATGCTTTCGAATTATGGTGCTGGAGAAGACTCTTGAGAGTCCCTTGGACTGCAAGGAGATCAAATCAGTCAATCCTAAAGGAAATCAACCCTGACAGATACTGAAGCTGAAGCACAAATACTTTGGCCAACAAATGAGAAGGGAGCACTCACTGGAGAAGACCCTGATGCTGGGAAAGATTGAAGGAAAAAGAAAAAGGGGACAGCAAAGGATGAGATGGTTAGACAGTGTTATCGAAGCAATGAACATGAAATTAAGTAAACTCTGGAGTACGACGGAAGACAGAAGGGCCTGGCGTGATGTGGTCCATGGGGTTGCGAAGAATTGGACTTGACTGTGCGACTGAACAAAAATGGTGTATCTTTGTTATGTCTGGTTTGCTATTTGGTTTTTTTTCTTAATAATTAAAAAATAAAACTGGAAAAAAGCTGTGGCCACACCAGTTTTCAGAACAGTTCACTGACAGAAGTAAAAAAAAATGCTTTTTAAAGTTGCAATGGAAGGAAGATTGTCTCATAATTTAAGATCAATGTATGCACCAATTGTACTTTTTATTCATATGCATTGGGTTCTCTGACCCCTGTTAGAGTCCTAGGCATTGTTTAATATGGTATCAGTTCCCCTGGTGTGTGTGTGTGTGTGGGGGGGAAATCAGATCTTTAGGAAATGCATGAGAACCAGGTGAGCAATGGCTGCTGATTTTCAGCTCCAAACCAGGTTTGGGGGGCATAGGGGACCCTGACTTGGCTATGTCCATTGGTCTTCCCCCCCCCACACACATGTCTTGACAGACTGGAGGCAGAGAGAAAGATTTGAACAACTGTTTTTTGTTTCTCTGATAAAACCTTTCCTGATTCCAGGTCCTCAGTCAGCTTCCCCAAGCCCTTCATTTTTTTCAGCGTAGCTGTTTCAGCACTTAAGGAGGTGTGGTGGGGGAAGGGGACAAGACTGCCTCGTTCAGATGTGCCACAGGCATTTTTAAATGCCTAAATTCTTATCTAAAATGGCACTGGTGGTCATGGGTCGTACATGAAGCTGCCTTATACTGAATCAGACCTTTGATCCATCAAAGCCAGTATTGGCTATGGAGACTGGCAGTGGCTCTCCAGGATCTCAGATCAAGGTCTTTCACATCACCTGTTGCCAGATCCTTTAACTGGAGATGCCTGGGACCTTCTGCATGCCAAGCAGATGCTTTACCACTGAGCCATAGACTCAAGGCCACCTAACATCTAGTTTAGCCCAAGGGCTTGTGTTCATGGAAACACATATTCCTCTTCCTCAAGCAGCACCTTATAGCCCACACTAAGCTGTTGTTGAGGGGAGCCTTGTGAACAAAATGTCATACAACAGCCAGGCTGCAACAGGAACAGAAATCAAGCAAACAATTCCACACAAGCAGCATATATTTGTTTATACCCCACTTTTCTCCCCAAAGGGACCCAAAGTAGCTTACAAAAGGGGGGGGGGGGACACACACCTATACAAATAAACCAGTAAACCGGCAAACAACAATTACATATTGGGCTAGGCCTGGATTCATTGGCTGGCTGAGGGGAAAACATGCTAAGAGCCAAGGGGGCAAGAACCCTTTGGCTTACACCCAAGGGCTCGTGCCTGTATCGATGCCCAAGCTTTATATAACCTAAAAAGAAGGGAAAAGCTTGGACTGCAAGAAGATCAAATCAGTCAATCCTAAAAGAAAACAACCCTGACTGTTCCCTGGAAGGCCAGATAATGAAACTGAAGCTCAAATACTTTGGCCACCAAATGAGAAGGGAGCACTCACTGGAGAAGACCCTGATGCTGGGAAAGATTGAAGGTCAAAGAAGACGGGGATGGCAAAGGATGAGATGGTTGGACAGTGTCATCGATGCAACGAACATGAAATTGAGCCAACCTCAGAGGATGGCGGAAGACAGGAGGGCCTGGCGTGATCTGGTCCATGGGGTCGCGAAGAGTCTGACTCGACTGTGCGACTGAACAACAACAATAATTGCTGGTGGGCAGTTTCATATAGGCTACAGAACTTGACAAACAAACAACAGAAACACTACTCTGAAAATTTAGCATAGGGTTTTTACAATGAAAAGCTGTATTGTCACACTGTAAACTACCGTGTTTCCCCGAAAATAAGACACTGTCTTATATTTATTTTTTCTCAAGAAGACACACTAGGGCTTATACCACAAATGCATAGAAATCCTGCTAGGGCTTATTTTTTGGGTAGGTCTTATTTTCGGGAAAACAGGGTACATCATTAAACTCACGCGTGTTTATGTCAGAGGGCCATATTTCTGTCTTCTGTCCCCGCTTTATGAGGAGGATTGAAGCCTTTTCCCATGGCAGATATTTTATTTACATTATTTATTTTTTGCTTTTCTCGCTTAGACTCAAGGCAGATTATACAGTGAGTCAATATAATCAACATTCAATAATACAATAGGATTAGGGTAGTAGAACCAATCAGAAATCTGAAAACAACTGAAACGAAGCATAGGTATCAACATGACCCATTAAATAATGTATATATACTATGTATATGCAAATTACATAGTAGGATCCTAGTTTTAGCATTGTTCAGTGTTCAGCTAAACACAATAGTATAGACCATAGTCCCTAATAATGTATCCAGGTAATTTGGTGAATCACTTAGTATAGTGCAATTCTGTTGCCTTCATAGAAAAGCCCTCTTGAACCACCCTGTGATGGACTGTCAAGGGTTAATGCCTAACAGAGTCTGGGAACGAGTGACAGGTGGTTCAAACGGAATTCTGTGGAGAGAGTCAATTAAGAAGTGACAGTTGGGAACTGACAGTTGAAGAAAGGACAGTTAAGCATTGACTAGACTGGGAAGGAGGCAAAAGGAGTGAGAGGATCAAAGAAGATCCCCATTCAAGCTGAAAAGGGAAACTACTTCTAGTTAAGAGAAGTAATCCCTGCCCAGTGAAAAGGGAGATAGCTCTTTAAAGAGGAGTGATCCCTGGTCTGTGTATATTGAAGGATTTGGGGAACTTGGTTGTATGTTTCTGCCCTCTAGACTATAAGAATCAGTGCAAGTCAGAAACCTATGCTTGAGAGTTTAAACAAAACCTGAAAAGAAAACCTCTATCCTCAAAGTTTTAAAAGACCTTTTTGAATACCAGAAACACTTACTAGTTGACAACAGATTATCTGGAGTTAGTGTGATTACAGAGTTACCTCAGTTTTATTATCAGTTCACTTCGTACATTGTACCCCAATTCCATCTGACCTTTTCTCCTCTAAGTTAAATAAAACATTTTGTTTATTTTGAACTTCAAAAGCCTTTCATGTGACACTTCAGAAGCTGAATATAAGAAGGTGATTTTGTCTGGGTGGGACAGCCATAAAAAAAGAGAGGAAAATATAGGGGCTGCTCAGCAAGAAAAAAGAAGAAGAAAGGGAAAATCCTGTGTATTAGGGAGGGAAAAGGGCAAGATCACCATAAGCCCAGATGGTTATATTACTTGGAAGGCTACTTGCTAGGAATGAGTGCAGTTTGGAAATGTGTGTGCCTCTGAACTACATTTGATTCTTCCAGATAACGTTGAAAGTAATGTAAATTTTGTTTGGTCACTTTTTTAGGATAATGGATCAAGCATTGCAAGGTGACATTATAAAGACTCAAAATCTTCCCCATATTGTTGTGGCTGTTGGAAGAAATCCTGATGGTTATCAATTGGCTTGGAAGTTCCTGAAGGAGAAATGGCCAAAACTTGTACAAAAGTAGGTGATAGTTTTAAATGTTGCCATTTTAGAGAGTAGCTGTGTTGGTCTGCAGTAGAACAGCTAGATTCACGTCCAGTAGCACCTTAGAGACTTTGGGATATTTGACTTTCAAAAGCCCGTACCTTGGAAATCTTGTTGGTCTCTAAAGTTTTACTGGACTTGGATTTAAATGTCATCGTTGCCTGCTTTTGGTTGAACAAAATCAGAAATTTACACATTTGTTACTGTTCTTGCAGGTTTGAACTCGGCTCACATTCCATTGCAAACATGATTATTGGAGTAACAAATAAGTATTCTACAAAGGCACAGCTTGAGGAGGTAAACATGTCTTGTACTGTCTGTTGCATAAAATCATACAGGACTGGGTTTTAGCACAGATAATACTTTTTGGTTTTGTCTGGCATTCCCTCACTAATTCTTATTGACTCTTCCTCCCATTCATGTCCATGTTTTGTTTGTAAATTACTGTTTGCCACTTTGAGGACCATAAATGGGGAGGGGAAGAAAGTGGCTTAAAACTTTAAAGAAATAATGAAGTACTGTTATAGATTTGTATATTGGTAGTAGATACCAGATGCTTATAATCTTAAAATTGCAGACATTAGGAAGCATGACTCTTCCTGCTTTGATCAGTGCTGTAATGTTGAGAAATAGTTAATTTTGACAAAAATTTAATGTCCACAAATTAGCAATGCGAACAGCACAAGGCAACAAGCTTTGTGAATGCAACTACTATAGTAAATCAAAAATTCTGGAAATCAGAGCCAGTGGAATTTGATTTCATGTATGGTGGCACTGTGACCATCTATACATTCCTCTAGGCAGCCCATTAAAAAAGGAAAGTTGTACTATCTTTGGGGTTCTTGGAAAACAGCCTGTCAAAATTATTTTCTGGTACCCCTTAAACAACTTTAACTTTTGTGTTTATGTTAAATTTGAAGCAGAAGGAAATAGTGTGCAGTTCATATAAAATTTGGGCCACAGCCACATTACATTTTCTTAACATTTCCATGACCAGGAAATCTCTCACAGGAAAGTAATGTGAATGCGAGATGTTTAGGGTATACTTTCCTACAGCCCATTTATCTTTAAAATCACACTGCAATAATAAGTGGTACAATAATTTATTTGCTTAAGTTTATAATCTCATAGCCATAAGGTTCTTGAAAATGAATTTTAATTCAACAGGTAAAAGACTTCTTCAGCTCTCTTGACAAGAAAAGCTCACAGCTTCGTTCTGTTGAACAAGCAATAGAAACTATTGAAGAAAATATCAAGTGGATGCATAAGAACCTTGGAAAAATACAGAAGTGGTTACAGATTAACAGCAAAGTGTGAAATTGTGTGAACCACCATTTCTGAAAAAATAATGGTAAGTTCCCAAACGAGAATGAAACACACAACCAACCACTTATTGTAACTCTTCGTGTGAATTCTGACAGCTGCATTTGTTAGTGCAAATGCTGACACTTACCCAGTGACAGAAAAGTAAATGGTGAGATCCATTTCTCAGAAGCAAGAAAACTGCCTCAGTGTCCTCTGCATATGGTACTGATGCACTTATAGCATTTGCCGATTTTTATACCCACACAAAAGTCATGCCAAGGCTTGTAATTTCGATAGCTTAGCATGAAACTTGAGAGCCAGTGTGATGTCACGGTCAAGGTACTGGACTGTGATCTGGGGAAGCCAGGTTCACTTCCCCACACTGCCATGGAAGCTTGCTTGGGTGATCATGGGCCAGGCACGCACACTCACACGGTGAGTTTTGATGACAGAACAGAGGTGAAGAGGACAATGTAAGCGGCTCTGCATCCCCACTGGAGAGAGAGGCACAGTATAAATAAGTAACTCTGAAGAGATTTATCGGTAGCCGGTACATAGAAATAATTTTGCGGGAACATAAATATAAGAACCATTTAATGATATGCTGTCAAAAGCTTTCATGGCTGGAGTTCATTAGTTCTTGTAGATTTTCTGGGCAGTATGGCCGTTGTGGTGTATTCGAAAAGGCTTACGTGAATCGCCGCATTAACTCTCCATGATAAGCTCGAGCCAGAGGAAGGCTCCTCCGAGCCAACTTGCTATTGGTCGCTCCAATCAGAACTGGACCAATTCCCTGCGAGGGAAGAACTCTCATTGGACATTATCCGCACAACCTCATTGGTTGTTTATTGTAAATAGGCGTGGCTACATTAGCCCGGGAATGTTTAAAAGGAGCCTAGCTCTGAATGTTAAACTGTTCTGGTTATGACTTCTTTCAAGCGCTTGTTTGTACCTACAATAAAGCTGATCACTTTTGTTGAAATCACTCTCCGGTTCTTTGTTAGCGGCGATCTAACAGCCGTGGTCTTGGCATTGTGAGGTACTACAATGCCAAGACCACGGCCATACAGCCCGGAAAATCTACAACAACTAACATTTAATGATAGCTTTGAAATGGACACTTTCTGGAAGAAGCACAAGATACAAATGGCAAGTATACCTGCTTGAGGATAAGTAGCATAAGTAATCTGCAGAGTGCATTCTTGATATTTTCAGTTAGAAAAAAGTCTGCTTCTGTTCTTCAGCTCAATAAATCTTCTGTGGGAGAAAATTAAGGGGAAATAATCAAAGCTGCTAGGCCCAAGCAGAAGAGAAATTGATCAAAGCCCACAAGTGACACAATATTTTATTTAAAATGAAGGGATCCTCAGGAATAATTCAAAGCAGGTTCCTGCAATATATGTTATAATGGATTGGATTCTACGAACCACAAGCCTTTCCCCAGAAGATCCTAGTACAGTCACCCCCTTCTACCATGTTCTGGTATTCTGGTATTGCCTTTCAGAGGGGGGATTGGGAATGCTGGAAAAATCTGCATCTGCATGGATCTTCCGCATGCAGTTCATAGGATCCAACTCATCTGTTTCCTTTGTCAACTTATTTCAGCTCTTCCTTCCACCCACTGCAATTCAGCCTGTTGTCATACACTGATTGTCAGCTTACTACACGCTATTCTTTGTATTATAAGGTGGAGGATTGTATTGCTCCCATAATGACTACCGCTTACATACTTCTAAAACCAGAATTTTAGACTACTACTACTATTTATCAGAGTGCATTACATTTGTTGTTATGGTTGACTTCACTACAGCTCTGTACAGCGGGTTACTACAGCTCCTGTTTTTACAGATGCAAATCCAAGGCTGTGAGGTACTGGTTGCTTTCCAGTGCTAGAAATGGTCTTACGGCCCTAAGGGTGGCAAAACTGAATTCCAGATTTCCTGTCCACAGGACCTAATTAGCTCCAGTAGTTCTCTTTACCTCTCACCGGATAAGATCCTTAGAGAACCTGAAAACAAATTTTCTCCAAGGATACCCCCCCCCCTTTAATTTGGTTTTGATTGCTAAATTAACATCTGTGGTTCAATTCAATTTTTAAATAGACTTTTCCCATATTCCATACATAAACCTTGATATTTAACGTAGTTGCAAAATGTTTACAAACTGTAGCAAGTATTCCTCAAAGCACTGTGAAATTCTACAATTATAAGTCGTTTAAAGATCCTAGTTCATTGTTTGTGTGCGCACAAAACCCAGGATTCAAACCAACAACTGTTCATACAGTGGCTTTGGATTGGGCTTTGTAACTTCTAGCTGATTGGAATAAAGGGGATGGGAATGATTTTTCTAAAATTGTATAAGATGTTGAAGCCATCAGTATTATATTCTTCAGAATGTATAGTTGAAAAATCCAAGATATTCATTACAGATACAAAGTAATACATTCTAAAAACTTTATTAGTGTAACACAATCTCAGTGCAGACTTTCAAATACAGTATAGCATGAGCATTGGAAATTGGCAAGGACAAATCAGAATTCTGTTTTTCCTCAGGATGAAAATAGTCCACTGAGAATATTGGCATAGAAATAAACAGCCGGTATGGTAGAAAAGAGCCATGCCTGAACACCCATTCAGTTCAAAAGGGTTTGCGTGGATAATCCCGTGGTAGACTGTGACCTTTGTATCTGTCAGTGGTGGTCTAGAAAACTAGTTAGTGGGGCAGACTTTGACCATTTTACCAACAAGTAGTACCTTGCTCTACAAATCAATGGGAAGATTTGCTGTTCAAAGTGCAAAAGCGTATCTGCTGTTAAAGCCATAGCCACTCTTACTGTAAATGTCATGGGGTGTGTATGTAAATTTGAACAAGCATTGCATCCAGAATGAACTCACAAAACACCTCCAAATTAGCTGTGCTATGAGCATACACATCAGGAAACAACTGCTGGGTCATCTGAATTCCTTAGGTGGGAGGAAGGAGACACTGGCTTGGCCCGTGCAGTTATGCCAATCAGAGAGTGAAACAGATACTGCAGAATTACAGCTCTTCTGTAGTACCACCATTCTTCTTTGATAATTCTGATACACTGTTAGTTTTCCCCCCCTGGAAGCTGTTAGCAGAGGCAGCAAAAGGATACCAAAGGCAGAGATACAAAATTTAAACTTAAAATACTAATGGTGCTGTTCATATTCAGTACTATATAGTTAGAAGCTGAGGATGAGAAACAGCTTCTGCTTTGCTCCCACTTTTAATTTTTGCATTTATCATTCACTCTTTACTAACTGCTCCCCCAAAGGAACATAACATCCAGACTTCATTCCAGCATGTTTAATGCGTCCATTAGACTAAAAAAAAAAAAAAAAGTTAGCACAGATTTGGTGAATTCTGCTGAGATTTACAGGCACTGTGTGTAGACTGTGTGCAAAACTGCAGACTTTTTTGCATTGCTATTCATAGGAAGTACATTTCTTACAAATATAAAGCATCCCTTCCCTCTCAGAACTGAAGAAAAATGACAAAATAAAGACAGTAAAATGACTAGAAAAAGTTAGTTTATCCATGAAAATAGCAAAATGTATGCCTGGCATGGCAAAATATCCAAATACCACAAATACCAAAACCACCCAGGAAATAATCTTGCTTCTGCAGAATAGCTTTTTGGTGTTCAAGTGCAGCTATCCACCATCAAAGTGAAGTTTTTGTACTAGTGATGGAAAGCCTGAAGAGAAGCAAAAAAAAGAGTATGCTATTAAATTAGGGCTTTTCCCATCTCATAAAACAGCGAATGTATCAGCTGAGAATAAGCAAACAGAAAGCACAGAGTTGATTTTCATATTGGTGGTTTGTAAAGCTCCCCCTGTACAGATACACATTCTTCCTTCCACATTTGCTTTTCCCAAGGAGTGGAAAGGAAAGCAGATCCTTCAACTCGTGTATAGGAAAGCAGTAAGAGCACCAAGAGCTGTCCCAATAAAGAGTTTCCTTGCTTGACCTCTAGGAGAAAAGTGCCCCCCCAGAAGTACAGACACAGAAAGAGAGACTTCTACAATGTAGCACCTCACAAGTGAACCATTTCCCATATTTGAGTGTGTGTATGTGCACATGCATAACTGCTCCTGCTGTTGGACATGAGCACCAAATGCACACTGGAGTTCCCTCAAGGAGCCAAGGATGCATTTTAAAGTTGTTAAATGTTCCAGTATACCAGCTTGTGAGGACCCTTGACCTGCTATATTTCCATTCATCCAATGCCGCCAAAGTAAATTTTCCCTTCAATGAAACTTGGGAATCCAGTGAGAAGAATGTGCATCTCCAGTATGAAAAGTGTATTTTCCTACATGTTTAGATTATGTTTTAAGTACCTGCATAGTTGAAAATGTTGAAAATTGCTCTGAACAAAGGGTAACAATCAGGGCAACAGTATTTAGGATTCCTCATCAATAATTTTGAAATGTTCATATATGTAAAGATCTCATAAGCTAAGCAGTAGCAGCCTCATCAATTGAGATACTGCAAATTCATCTCACAGCTGTGAAAAATGGTCTCTCCTTTAAAAAGTGAGAGTGTTTAAAAATGTTTGTTGTTCAGTCGCATAGTCGAGTCCGACTCTTCGTGACCCCATGGACCAGATCACACCAGGCCTTCCGGTCTTCCGCCGTCCTCTGAAGTTGGCTCAACTTCATGTTCGTTGCATCTATGACACTGTCTAACCATCTCATCCTTTGCCGTGCCCGTCGTCTTTGACCTTCAATCTTTCCCAGCATCAGGGTCTTCTCCAGTGAGTGCTCCCTTCTCATTTGGTGGCCAAAGTATTTGAGCTTCAATTTCATTATCTGGCCTTCCAGGGAACAGTCAGGGTTGATTTCTTTTAGGATTGACTGATTTGATCTTCTTGCAGTCCAAGGGACTCTCAAGAGTCTTCTCCAGCACCATAGTTCAAAAGAATCTATTCTTCGGCGCTCGGCCTTCCTTATAGTCCAACTCTCGCAGCCATACATGACTACTGGGAATACCATTGCTTTGACCATGCGGACTTTTGTTGTTTAAAATATCAATCCTTTAAAAAGCATTAATGTATAGTAAATGTGCACAAGGATAGCTTAAAAACTCTTACCCAGTGACATTTAACTTTTTTTTTGTTTTTCAGATTTTGCACTGGAAGACTGCTCCTTTGCCTTAAAAGAGAAAAACCACACCATTAATTGCAGTCAAACAAAGAACACTGGATAAATATCAGAAACAATAAATAGCCAGTCTATAAATTAAAATTTGAAATATGTACATTTATCAAGAACAATGGAATAGAGTTAAAAGTATGAGAGTTAGGGCTAATATACACATTATGCTATTCTCCCAATATTTTTCTTTTTACCCTAACTGCTCTTCTCCAGGCACTATTTCCCAATCTCCCTCAGCTGCTCTTAACCCAGAGGGGAAAACATTAGATGGGCCAAGTCACAGATCTGTCCTGTAGCATGTAGTTTGGCACTTAAAGCAAGTATATATGTATAGTAATCATGTTACAACTACAAAACAAAAGGTGGGTTGCTTTCACAGGTCAAATACCTAAAGACAGAGCTGCCATATCACCTGACATTTCCTCAAGTACATTACTTAAGAAGTAAACTGCATCTGTTAATCAGCAGTCTTGGAATTCCTTTGATCATTTGACTACAGATCTGATCAAGCACAGCCATCCTGATTTAACTTTTAGTAGGGTACATGTTTTTAAAAAGTATTTTGCACTGTTATAAGTTCTTGCTCAAAGCTGGTCAGAGCATGCAGCTTTTATCTACAAAGTAGTAACAAATATTGGGGTTAAAAATACTGCAGTGGAAGCTGGCACACAGAGGCTTGGGTATTTACATGGCCAACTTCCAAAAAGGCCACAAAACCTGTATTGCACTTTCTGGGTCCCAGATTCATGCTTCTATGGTACACTCAATATGATGTGTATATATCCTGTATCTGCTGGGTCAGAAAATACCCCTTATTCACTTATTCTTACACTTTCTCTTTTGTAACTGCTTTCCCTTTTCTCGGATCTTCACAATGTGCACAACAGCTGCACAAGCTGCTTATTTTATTAGTGACAGAGATGATGTCTAACGGGCCAGAATAGAGAATAAGTTCTGACAAACAGCAAGTGAAGAGATACTGGAAAAATATGCACATGTGCTATGACCCACGGCAGGTCTAATCTCAGTATAAATTTTGACACTGCTAATAATAAATGTCCAACCTTTTTGGAACCTTTAGGTTTCTTTTCATCCTTTGTAACTGATTTAGATGTGGCAGTATCTTTTGCTTTTTCACCCTGTACCCAAGAGAGAAAAATCTCTGTTCAAATTATTGAAAACACATCGGAGGCTGAAAGGATTTGGGAAAGAAATGGCAACTTTAATCCAGGAAAGCATAATCTACGCAAGGTTCACACTAAAAGGGAAAGATTCAGTGGGGTTTGGAATGCGGTGTAAATATTGTGGGAAAGCTACACAGGCAGCAGAAGGAAAATAAACCATATCCTAAAGGATTCTTATTTACAGTCTTGTGAATATTCACTTCTATAGATGAGCACATAGACTTTGTAATGGATGTATAAGTGTGGCAAAGAGGCAACCAGGTCCGCTTGTTTTTCCACTGTCCTCAGCCTTCTAAGATATTTTTTTGTTAAAGGGACTTTTGATCAATGGCAGGTTTTTGTATTCTTGAAGGGATTTCTTTGTAGTTTGCTTCTTTCCAGACAAGCCAGAGGTGAAACTTGACGACACTACCAGTTCACAATAGTGATGGCAAGACATGGGATTAAAATAATGGCCTGAAACATTTAATTTCCCCTCCCCACCTATCCTGCCTAATAAAGAGCTCTGGAGAACCTAAAAGTTTGCACACTGTTCTTGTTCATTTTGTCGGTCCTGATAATTACGTTGCTTCCAGTTTGGGATTTGCTGTGAACCAACATGACTACCTGCAACCTCTGTGAACAGTATGTTAATGCATATTCTGTTTTTGTGTGAAAATTCTCCATTCTAGAGGAACTGTCTGATTTACATTCTTAACCTAACATACATATATGGAAACAAGGTATGTTTCAGGTACTGAACCCGGGACCTTCTGCATGTCAAACAGATGCTCTAGCACTGGTCTACAGCTCCTTCCAAAACAAGTTTGCTATGAAGGAGTAGCATCATTTCTGTCCACACCAGACAGTTCCAGTGGGGTAGCTGTGTTAATCTATTGTAGCAAAACAAAACAAGTCCAGCGGCACCTTAAAGGCTAACATAATTTATTCTAGTATGAAGTAAAGCCCACCTTCACTGTGATTTATTGTAAAAAATACCAATCCCTAAATCTGTAAGAAGAAAAGCAGATAAATTAGGCAAAAACAAATGACTGAACAGGGAAGAAAGTGCCACAGAGGCTGAAACAGCAGATGGAGCCCTAAAGCAATTATATGAAGCCAGGAGAAATGTGGATGTTTTACCAGCTCAGTATTGATAGGGTTCTATCTGACACTCAGTTGACAAAACATCACAGAGGGGCAAACAGGAGACACTGAAAGGACCTGGATGATAAACATGTTGTAGTTTGCATGTTGCAATGCACAATATTTTCTTACAAATACAGTGCAATCCCATGCAGAGTTATTTCATTCTACCACCACTGAAATGATAGGGCACAAGAGGCTCTTCTATTAAGATGCCTTGCAGCAGAGAAAAGTACCACCATTAGCAGAAGTGGGATTCAAACCCAAAGTACTTCCACAAAGGAAAATCTTCACGACTCAGACACCATCCAGAAATTGTATCCTTCCTCAACATGCAAGTAAAATGGTGACCCAATTTATATATTTTTTAAAAAGCTTAAATTTTTTAATGATGTTTTAACCAAAACTCTTGTGCATCCTGCATCTATGAAGCGTTACAAGCAAATTCCGCTCACAGCAGTACAACAATATAAAACGGAACGCATGCTTGACAGTTGCATGCTCTCCTCCAGTGCTAGTAATGCATGTAAACCCTTTCTGTGTACCTTAACTTCAGCTGTGCAGACTGGGCGAAGTACAGTAATATCTCTAAAGCAGAACTTTCAACAGGGAAATAATTGTTTCAGATCTTAGGCAAAGATCCTCACCTTTGTTGGTGGCTGCTGAGATACAGGAGGTTTCCCACAACTATCAAAGTCTCCAGAAAGTGCATCAATAGCTGCTGAGTCATCAGCTGGCTTCTGCAATAAAATAACCAATTTTAAAAACAAAACATTCCCCTAAGGTTAAAACGAAAAGAAATTCCTGTGTTAAAAGCAGCTTCCCATTTTCCAGTTTAAAAAGAACTGAAATTTACAACAGAAATGCCACTGAATTAATGGGTCTAATCAGGCAGCAGCTTCATGTATTCCTAGAAATGTGCAAAACACATAAGATGGACATGAAACTTTTTGCATGCTCATCAGGCAGCTCCTACTATAACTGTGGAGGGGACGTACTCAGCAATAAAGTGCAAACAAAAGATCCCACATCCTTGAAGTTACAAGTCAAAGATGTCAAGTAGCAGGCGCTGGAAAAGACATTTATCTGCATGGGACTCTGGAGATCTGTTGCCAGTTAAAATAGACAATGCTGAGTCAGATGGGCCGGTGGTGTGACTGGAATAAGGCAGCCTCGCGCTAAGTCTTCATTTGCCACCACCCATAGAGGTAACTGATGAGGAGAACGGGAGTAGCACAGGATGAAATCATAAGGATTGGATGTGAACCCATTCATATTCTAAGCTACCATACCCCATGAACAACTGGAATTCGACACAGCACTCATTGTATAGCAATTTTTGTTTTACCTTTTGTTCTTTGGGTTTCTCGCCATCCTTGCCTGTTGGCTTCATAGGCTTGCCCTGAAAAATAAAAGGGGTGAAGAGGCAGCTGTGCACCATTAAAAAAATCCATAATTTTTTCTTTCAAACCTCCCCATATCTTGCTTACAATATAAAACCCTAATGTGTCAGTGGATGTCAAGCTCAGGCTTAACTTTCGTTTCCTTAAGTTCTGCTTTTCTTCCCCTTGCTTGTCATGTTGAATTCCTGGGGAGGGGGTTGTAAGAGTGCATGGGAGTAGACGCCATAATTATCCCTGAAGCTGTGCCCCAAGTGTTGGTTCCCATGAGACCGACCTTGGAGAATCTTTGTGCCTAGCCTAGGTTAGATAGGGCACCATATATCTGTCTGTGTTGCCAGAGAAACGCTAAAGGGTAGGTGTGACATGTGTAACTGTGGAATTTTACGCTTTTACCTATAACCTGTATGTTCCCATAGTTTTCTTCAGTCCTAACAAAAGTTCTTGAACCTACAACAAGCATATTTCTAATAAACATTTCACTGCCAAAAGTGTGTGTGGAGGGTGACTTAGCTGGGGACCTGACGGTGGATTGCATAACTTGTTGCTATTGAGCACCAACCTCTAAGCCCATTTAATTGACTTCCTGAAAACTGCCATTCTTACATTTCTCCATGTTAAAAACCACTTTAAAGTGGTTGGTTAAAAGTGAATTCACACAATTTCCAAAAGTGAGCAATGAAGCTAGAGAGATTTCCCCCCAGGGTTAAACAACTGCTGTGGTTTCTGTGGTGTCTGTGAACATAAAGGAAGGCATCAAATACTTTACAGGGGCCCAAACATAACTCTCACTAAATACACTCTTTAATATCAATGAGTTTGATGCAGAAAGCATATGCTCACCTTCTCATCTGAGTCCAGAAGATGCCTATATTCAGGAGGGATTGTATCATCTCTCTCCCCAAGTTTGTCTTTATGTTCAGATTTAGCCTTTTCCTATTAAAGTGACAATAACATTAGTAATTTTTCGAGACCAGTCAATGCAAACAGGGCTCATGCCCCCCCCCCCGGTAATGGAAGTACGAAATTATTTCACTGGTGCCACATGTATGAGTCTTATCATTGCTGTATTTTAGGGGTGTGCATTTGGATCTACCCGAGCCGAAAATACACCCCCAAAATATCAGTATTTTGGGGTATATCTTGACTTCCCAGGTGTATCCAGGTTTTCTTGAGAAAACTGGGGGGGAAATCCCAAGAAAGTCCAGGATATACTTGGGAATTACCGGTAGATCCGAAAACAGCAGAGAGGTGGGAGCTCTCAGCTGTTTGTCGGGCTTCTGTTGTTTAAAGGGACTGCAGAAGACAGCCCAAGGATCAGCTGTGCCAGGGGGAGCAGACTGTTCCTGCCAGCTCGGCTTTGGGCTGGCTTCTCCTGCAGCCCTTTCTAAACTGGGCTGGAGGAGAAGCCAGCCCCAGAAGCAGCTGTGCCACAGGGAGCAATCTGCTACCCATGGCACGCAGATCCTGGGGCCAACATCTGCAGTTTAAACTGTGCTGCAGGAGGAGCCAAGCCAGCCCCAAGATTGCGCTGTTTTTTTGTTTTTACTGGTATTTTTCTTCTTGGGTCTACTGGACCCCAAACCATTTGGGATTTCTGAAAAATCCTGGATCTGAATATCATACCAGTATTGTGATCTGGGATTTCAGGTCCAATAGACCCAAACCAAAAAATACCAATTAAAAAAAATTGCACACCCCTCCTATATTTATAGCAAATATTTAAAAAAACAAAACCAATGATTGCACCAAATGTTTAAAAATCTGAACAGAAATCATATTACAATTCGTGTTTCATGTGTAAGCTAAACACAGTTAAGTTTGTTGTGTAATTAAGAGTACTGAAAACAATGACCCCCCCTCCCCACTGTTAGCAGATTCTTGAGCACATTCCAAAGAATATTCAGTTTTGTAAAATTTCAGTTCTGCCTGCAGAAGTCACGGGGCTCAGCAGTGCTCTTAAAAATTAGAACTACTCATCTGCCCACCATACTTCTTCGCTGCTATATGACTATATTCCACATATGCAGAAACACATTTTTTTAAAGCAGTTGTCTATCACAGTTATATACTCAGAGGCCCCCTTCTCCTTATTAGTTAAGAAATGGGAGAAAGAGTCCTGCAGCCCGAGATGGCTTTCAACATAATCAGGAGGGTACAACCTCACAAAGCTGCTAAATCGTTTGCACAATAAGAGATACATAAAATATTGTGAAACACACTTTGGCACGATAAAAGAATTTTACATTTATACAGCAACATCAAGATGTATTTAGACAGCTAAACCTTTTTCAGGAAATAGGATTCTAAAATTAAAACACTTTGATGCTAAATATTTTGCAAATCTAACCATTTTGGGGGATTATAACCAATGTACAATTAGGATATTTAACTTTCAAAGTTGCAGTAAGTGTGAGGGGGAGTATGGTGAGGTTGTGATAGTAAAGGGTGTGGTGAACTCTGTGAGAAGGACCAGATAATCAGGCAGATCAGTGGCCCAAGAAGTCTCTTTCGAATGCTTCCTTACCCCCCACCTCACCCAGCTCTTTCAGCTTTCTATGCACACTTATAGGAATGTGCAGGCGAGCACTGTGCCTACACATGACCACATATGAAGCTGTCATATACAGAATCAGATCTTTGGTCCACCAAGGTCAGTATTGTCTACTCAGACTGGCAGCGGTTCTCTAGGGTCTCAGGCAGAGGTCTTTCACTACCGGCTGGTCCTTTTTAATTAGAGGTGCGGGTGATTGGGACTTTCTGCATGCCAAGCAGAGGCTCTTCCACTGAGCTGCAGGCCCTCCCCTAGTGAGGCAACAGTGCACAAAAAGGGTCTTTTCTCACCTTTACTTTATCCACAACTGGTTTATTTTCATCTGGGTCAGGTTCTCTTTGCCCCAGTGAGTCTGCCAGAAGATCTGCAGCATCATCAAGTTCTTTCCCACCCTTAAAAACAGAAGAAAAAACATGATCTCATATTTTTTGTTGTTGTTCAGTTGCACAGTCAAGTCCGACTCTTCACAACCCCATGGACCAGATCACGCCAGGCCCTCCTGTCTTCCGCCGTCCTCTGAAGTTGGCTCAATTTCATGTTCGTTGCATCTATGACACTGTCTAACCATCTCATCTATTGCCGTCCCCGTCTTCTTTGACCTTCAATCTCATATAGTGTATACATATTAAAGATTATAACAATTGCTAGATGCAATAACAGAACTTTGGAAGTTACTAAAATATGCATAACCAGGTGAAAAATCGAGGGGAGAGGACAGGAGGAAGCACAGCTGGATTCTGTAGCTGGATTCTGCTGTGAAGAAGGGACTACATCTTATCTCTGTTTTCTACAGAATAATAAATCAGGCTTGATTATTGCAAAACACTCTTAATTGAGAGAAGCCAGCAATGCTAGCCTCTCTGCCCTAACTGCAAAGCTCTGCTCTCAGTGTCACAGTT